GGCTTTCTTTCTCCACATCCTCACCCCCTTGCTCCCTGCTCGCCTGATCCTCACCCGCGTGACCCTCTCCTGATCCTCCCCCTCGCGAGCCTCGCCCTTATAATCTTCACGCTCATTCTCATCTGGATAATTTCCCTTTCGCCGAGAAGCGCACGCCCCTACACTGAAACTCCCGATCAAGCGCCGAGCGGCCCGCTAATAACTTGCCCTTCCCTGAGTGTCCTTCCCCTAGGTCCTGACCTCTTATTATTAAGTACCCGAGATGTGCCCAACCCTTCCTCCACGCAAAACGACTATTAAAAGGAATGCTCTTGACAAACGACCGCATTGAGACATAGGCTGCAAACTTGCACGAGAGTGTGCCGACACTTGTACAGTTGGCAGCCTCGCTGGGAGCCGTGAGGCCTCCTCTGTATACGCGTGGCCCCCGACTCCGCTGGACCTCCCAGGAGCCCACGAAAGTGTGACAATTGCGCAGTTCGCAGCCACCCCGAGAGGAGCGAAGTTCTGTTCGGGTCCGCGTGGCCCCGGACTCCGCTGGACCTCCCAGGAGCCCGCGAAAGTGGCGACGGTTGCGCAGTTTGCAGCCTCCCCAGGGGCAGCGATGTCTTCGCGTGGGTCCGCATGGCCCCAGACTCCGCTGGACCGCCGAAGAGTCCTCGAAGGTGGCGTCAGATGCGCCAATTTGCAGCCACCCAGGGAGCAGCGAGGTCCCGTCTGGGTCCGCGTGGCCCCCGACTCCGTTGGACTTCCAGGAGCCCACGACAGTGGCGACGATTGCGCAGTTCGCAGCCTTCCATGGGCAGCGAAGTCCCGTCTTGGTCCGCGCGGCCCCCGACTTCCGCCGGACTTCCCAGGAGCCCACGAAATCAGCGACAATCGCGCAGCTCGCAGCCACCCAAGGAGCAGCGAGGTCTCCGTCTGGGGCCGCGTGGCCCCCGACTGTACCAGACCTCCCAGGGACCCGCGAAAGTGGCGACATTTGCGCAGTTCGCAGCCACTTAGGTAGGGAAGTTATCCCAGTGCGACCCTACCTAGGAGTTGGAGCCTCTAGGAAAGTAACATGCTATGCTCTGCTATGCTATGCTCTGCTCTGCTCTGCTCTGCTCTGCTCTGCTATGCTATACTATGCTATGCTATGCTATGCTGCGCAATGCTATGCTGGGCTGGGCTAGGCTAAGCTAGGCTAAGCTAGGCTATGCTATGCTATGCTATGCTGCGCTATGCTATGCTGCGCTATGCTATGCTATGCTATGCTAATGCTATGCTATGCGATGCTATGCTATGCTATGCTATGCCATGCTATGCTATGCTATGCTATGCTTTTGCTTTGCCTTCGCTTTTGCCTTCACTGTTGCCTTTGCTTTTGCTTTTGCTTCGCACCCAGGGAGCGCAACTGGGGGAACCGCGCGTTTGCTTTTACCTTTGCTGTTGCTTTTGCCTGGCTCCCAGGGGACTGGGGGAACCGCCCGGGGCGGGTTGCACTGCCCGGCCCCTTTAAGCCAAGAAAGTAATAACCCTTCTAGGCAGAGCCTAGGTAGGGAACAAAAAGTGACATAAACATAAAACTCGGAGGTCCGCGCGGATTTCTCGGATCGGCGCTGGGGCCCCCCGGCGGTGCCTCCGGCGCCGCCCCTGGCGCGCTCCGCGCTGGCCCCGCGCCCCTACTTAAGGAGCAGCGAGGCCCCGTCTGGGTCCGCGTGGCCCCTGACCCCGCTGGACCCTCCAGGAGCCCACGAAGGTGGTGACAGCTGCGCAGTTCACAGCCGCCCAGGGAGCAGCAAGGTCCCCATTTGGGTCCGCGTGGCCCCAGACCCCGCTGGAGCTCCCAGGAACCCAAAGAAGTGGCGACAGCTGCGCATTTTGCAGCCACCCAAGGACCAGCGCAGCAGGAGGCAGGGAAAGGAGAGGAGAGGAGGGGAGGGGAGAGGAGAGGAGAGGAGAGGTGGAGACCACCGTGCTTTAGTCAGAGCGAGAACCCAACACAGAAGTGTCAAATCGGCCCTCCCGAGGCCGCGATTCCCTTTCACAGAAACGCGAGATCCGCGTTCCCGATGCCGCGATCCTTCGCAGAAAGCACGACCCGTGCTCTCGAGGCTGTCCTTTGCAACATCGTCTTGGCGAAGGACCGAACCATATGCAGTTGTGAGTGACGCAGTTGTGAGCATCGTTTTCGATGGAGCTCCCTATGGCGCCACGAAGCGTGTGTGGGGTGCGCCATATAGGCAGGGGGGACGCATGTGAACATTGTCGCTGGGCCTTTCGGTGGAGCTTGCAATGGGGCCACGAAGCGTGTGATGGGTACACCGTAGTAGGTGGGGAAACGCACATGAGCATTGCCAGTGGACCCTTCGGTGGCATTCCACATGGGACCACGAAGCGCGTGAGGGTACACCGTAATGTGCGGGTGAGACGCATGTGACCCCTGTCATTGGGGCCTTCGGTGGAGCTCCCCGCTGGGCCACGACGCGTGTGAGGGGTGCGCCGTAGCAAGTGGAGGAGTCGCAGGTGAGCACGGCGGGGGAAACGCATGCGAACGGTTGTATTGGGGCCTCGGGTGGAGCTCCTTATGTGTCAACGAACCGCATCACGGGGGCACCGTAACAGGCGGGGGATACGTATGCGAACGGTGGCATTGGGGGGGGCCTTGGGTGGAGCTCCCTCTGGGTCCACGCACCGTGTGTCGGAGTGCCGCCACTGGCGGGGGAGACGCGTGCGAGCGGTGGCAGGTGGGGCCTTGGGTGGACCCCCCTATGTTGCGCCATGAGCCGTGGAGGGGTGTGCCGTAATGTGTGTGTGTGTGTGTGTGCGTGTGTGTGCGTGCGTGTGTGTGTGTGTGTGTGTGTGTGTGTGCGCGTGTGTGTGTGTGTGTGTGTGTGCGTGTGTGTGTGTGTGTGTGTGTGTGTGTGTGTGTGTGTGTGTGTGTGTGTGTGTGTGTGTGTGTGTGTGTGTGTGGGGGAGGCGCATGCGAATGGTGGCGCTGTGGCCTTGGGTGGAGCTCCCTGTGGGGCCACGAGCAGTGTGAGGGTGTGCCGTAATGTGTGCGGGGGACGCGTGCGAACGGTGGCATTGGGGCCCTGGGTGGGGCTCGCTACGGGGCTACGAGCCGTGTGAGGGGTGTGCCGACATGGACACGTGGAGGGCAGGGGGCAATAATGGGAGGATGGAGTATGGGGGAGAACGAAAGAGAAGGAGTGAGTGAGACGCAGGGCGCTGTCTTTTCCAAGCAAGGGCCCCCAACCACATGATGTTTTTTTTTTGGACAAGCAGCATCCGCCCTCCCAGACCGCATGTCCCCGTAGATCAAAGATCCGAGCTCCCGCGGCCGCGATCCCTTGTCAAATCGATCGGATCCGCGCCCCCGAGGCCCAATCCTGTGTAGAAAAACGCATGGTCCACGCTCCCGAGGACACGATACCTCGTAGAAAACAGCCGTGTTCCCGAGGGCACGATCCCTGGCAGAAAACGCAGGATCCACGCGCCAGGGGCCACGATCCTGATCGGTAGAGAGTGTAGGATCCGCGCCCCAGACGCCACGACCCCGGAACGCCGGAAGCCTGTCCAGGATTTTGCCAGGGAGCTCGGACGAGCCCCAGGGAGCGGAAGGCCAGAAACGCGCCGGGGAGGCCCGGTGCGCCCTGGGGAGCTCCAGGGAGCTCTACGAAGCCCCCCGTCCTCCTCCTCCTCCTACTCCTCCTCCTCCTCCTCCTCCTCCTCCTCCTCCTCCTCCTCCTCCTCCCAGGGAGCGCCAGGAAGTCCCAGGAGGCGCCGCGCCGCCCGGGGTCGGTCCGGCGCCGCCAGAGGACTCGCCTGGAACGCTCCCAAATCACGAGGCTTACCAGGACGACACCGGATGAGTTTTGAGCACCCGGCGAACACGGACGCGGCCTGAGGGGTCCTCAGAAGAGGCTTCGCCCACGCTTTCCATGCATCCCCCCCCCGCCGCCCGCGCGGTGGTCGCGCAGCGGCGCGACCGCATGCGCGACCCGGTTGCGACGCATTCGCAGAGACGCGCGCGCGCGCGTGTTCGTCGCGCAGCGAGGCGCCGTCCTGCAGGCGGATCGAAACCTCAGCGCGAAGGCCTTCTCCTGAGGCCGCCGCCGGTGCGACGCCGGAGTCCTTCCCCGTGCGCTCGTGCACCGCCGAGTCGCGCCAGGATGGTGCGTCGGGGTTGGACAGACCTCCTACCCTGACACGTCGATTGAGGAATTGGCCGTTTTCGGTTCGCGAGAGGGCGTCGCGGCCGTTAATTTTGCGGGTCCAGGTCCATCGGTTTCGGTCCCGGGCCGTTTTCACTAAGGTGAGGTCCACTAAAGGGAGGTTTGTCCACCGCCGAGTGCGTGGCGCCGCGCGCCCACCCCTGGGCGGAAACTGTGCTCTGAGTTCTTCGCCGACGCGCGAGCCCCCTGCCTTGCGCGCGCGAGAGCTCTCCAAGTCGCGCGAGGAGTCCGACTGGCGCCGCGCGCCGACCACCGCACGGAGACCGCGTGCCGAGGCTGCCGCCGATGCGACGCTCGAGTCGTCTCCGGCGCGCTCTGGCGCTGCCCAGTCGCGCGAGCCGTTCTGCCTGGCGCTGCGCGCCGACCCGCGTTCACGAACGCCGCCCAGTCGCGCGAGGAATCTGCGTGGCACCGCGCGCCGACCCGCGCGCGAAAACTGAACTCCGCTGCCGAAGTGGTGCGATTGCGCCACCGCGCACGGCGTGACGCGCGCGTTCTACGTTCAGTCGCGCAACACCCGCGCGATACGCAGAGCGGGACTCCGACGCCCGCAACCGCTCAGCGAGACGTCCGCGAGGATGCGACGCGTGCCGTCTTCCCCCTCCTTGAGGGGGCGGCGCGGGGTCGGAAACGAAAAAGGGGCCGACTTCGGGGCGCGGCCGAGGCACGTATGAGGGGGGGGCTTGGGGCACGGGCGTCGCGAGCGCGCGCAGGAGCATCCCACTCCCAACGATCCTGCTGTGGGGGGGGGGGGGGGCACGCGCGCGCGCGCACTCCTCGGCAGCACTCTCTCGCCGTCGCTCCCCCTCTCCCCCGGCGGGGGAGAGACGGCGCCGCGAGGCGCCCGAGCGCCGCAGGGCGGCGCGGGCGGCGCCCCCGCATGGCCCGGTCCGTGCCCTGAGCGGCAGCTCCCTGAGAAGGGGGGCGTGCCCGGGGGCGCCACGGGCACCCTCTGTGCCCTGTGGGGGGCCCCTGCGTCCTGTGGCGCCCCCCCCTGCGCCATCCAGGCCTCGGAACAAGTTAGCGAACACTCGTGCCACATTCATCTGTCAACGCCTCCCCCTCCCCCCAACGGTTTGGCGAACGCTCATGCCACATCCATCTGTCAACGCCTCCCCCTCCCCCCACTGTTCAAAGTTGGCGGTGGGTCTGATGAGATGCACTTCGGCCGCAGTCTCCCCCGCGCGTGCCAACATCGAGTTTGGTGGGGAGGGGGAGTGTTCAGTAGTTGTTTCCCTCTACCGCCTGGAGGCAAGGGAGGGCGCCGGGTCCTCGGCTCGAGGCGCCCTCCGCGCAGTGCCCCCGGAGAGGGCGCCCTCCGGCTGAGGGCGCCGCCCGGCCTCGTGGCCCGAGGCGCAGCCGCGGCCTCCCAGGAGCTCCCGCGGCGCGCGCCTCAGGGCGCCTGCCCCTGGCGCAGCTCGGCTCCCGTGGCCGCGCCGCGGCGCCCTCGTCCCCGCTGCGGGCGCCGCTGTTTTCGATGGGCGTCTGCGGAGGATCCGCAGGGCTGTCCCTCTGTCTCCTTTTTCCTTGCCTCTTCTCCTTGCCCTTCTCCTCCCCGAGCTTCTGATTGTTGTTGTTGTTGTTGTTGTTGTTGTTGTTGTTGTTGTTGTTGTTGTTGTTGTAGTTGTAGTTGTAGTTGTAGTTGTTGTTGTTGTTGTTGTTGTTGTTGTTGTTGTTGTTGTTGTTGTTGTTGTTATTGCTCATGTTCTTCTTGTTGTTGTTGTTGTTGTTGTTGTTGTTGTTGTTGTTGTTGTTGTGGTTGTTGTCGTTGTTGTTGTTTTTATTAGTATGAATCTTCTTCTTTTTCTTCTAGTGCATATCATTTTTCTGGTTCTTTTTTTCTTTCTTGTTAAACTGTGGCTTTCGCTTTGGCGCCGCGCACGTTCGTCTTAAAGGCTTGCAGCACTTTCACGGATGGAAGGCGGTCCCTTTTGAAAATGTGGTTTTCGCCTTCGCGCCGGGCATTCGTCTCGAACGTTTGCAAAAGTTTCACGGATGGAGGACGGGTCGTTTTTGAATGTTGTTCTCTGCGATTCAGGGTCGTGAGGCCGCAGCGGTAAAATTGGTTCGCGGCGTTGAGTTCCCCCAAAACGCTGTGTCTTGGCACGATTGGGGATTCTCATGCGGTTGTCTTCCAGAGGGGGACTTCCAGCAGTGAAAACATGTTCTAGTAGGGACCTATGAAAAAAAGGAACTTGGAGAGAGGGTTTATTCTCTAAATAGGCTTGCCCCATAGGAGTCCCAGATCAAACCCTACTAATTGGTCCGTTGCCCCCCCCACGACCCCCTCTAATTCCTATGCCCCCCCTAATTCCTATGGCTATGGCTATGCCTATGCCTCACCCCTAACCCCTATGCCTACGCCTACGCCTACGCCTATGCCTATGCCTATGCCTATGCCTATGCCTATGCCTATGCACCACCTCTGAGCGCTCCTATGCCTATTTCCAATGGCACCCCCCAGCCATTTCCAACGGCGGGTCCTATGGATTCCTATGTATTCCTATGAGTCGCTTGCCCTTGCTTGCTCTTGCGTACTCTTGCTTGCTTGCTCTTGCGTGCTTGCTATCGTTTGCTTGCTCTTGCTTGCCCTTGCTTGCTTGCACTTGATCGCTGGCTCTTGCTTGCCTGTTATTGCTCGCTTGCGCTTGCTTGCTTCCGCTTGCTTGCTTGCGCATGCTTGATTTTGCTCCTCCCGTCCTCCCGTCCTGCTCCCGTCCTCCTTTCGTCCTCCTCCCATCCTCCTCTCGTCCTCCTCCTGTCCTCCTATTTATTTGGAGTCAATGCTGGCTGATATTGTAACATTGTTGATGCGTCCTGGATTTACACTGGTCCTCCTCCTCCTCGTCCTCCCCATCCTCTCCCACGTTGGACACTTAGATAGGCGTTTCTGTTGCGCCCGCCCCTGTCTTTTCCACATTCTGCGCTCGCACTGGAAGCGCCTCCAGTTAGGGAGCATGGCAGCCGTCAGAAAGGTCATGGTGATGACGCAGCTCATAGGGCGGTGAACAATGGTTTGTTCTATCTAGATGCGCTTTCTGGGGGGCGCTCGGGGGCCTGGTGGTAGTGTCCTGAGAAGGGGCAGCACACGGAACGCCGCATCGGAATTTTTGATATTCGCGTATTTGTGTTTCGGAATGTTCTCAACGCATGGGCTGGGTCCAACATGTACACGTGTGTTTGGCTCGATGCGTCGGGGAGCCGTACTTGTTGCTGCTTAAGTAGCGGAGCTGCGAGCAAAAATAAAGCAACAGCCACACGCACACGCACACACACGCACACCGACAGCTGCAAGCGCGGTGCCGGATAGAGGGATGGAGCGCCGGGACAGCTGAAGACAGTTCGCTTAGAGTCAAGAGCGGGCTCGAGGGCGTGACATCGGGCAATTGCTGTAGCTATCGAGCAGGCCAGCTGCACATCATAATGCATTTGGAACACCATTCCAGCTCAAACAACGTGTAGTTATCCAAGTTGGCTCGCCTACGTGTGGCTTCGCTCGTTGCAGTAACAGTTTCGCAATGGCCAGGCCCCTGGCCACAGTTTTGTTTTTACGCGATTTTGGATGACAAGGGTGTAAGCCGATTCGAATGTATTCAAATGAGGTCGCGGTAAGGCAGGTCAGACTAGAGTATCTGGTGGCCTTCGGCCCATTTCGGCCCCGTGCCTAGGTTGTGAGTGAGAGGTCTCTTGAATACGTATTAGGCTTTCTTAGGATGCTTCTCGGGGGCCTCTTGGCGGTCTCTTGGGGGTCTCTTGGGGGCTCCTTGGGGCCTTCTGGGGCCCTTTGGGAGCTCCTTCGGGGGCTTCCTGGAGACCTCTTTAGGCCTTTTGGGGGCTCCTCGGGGGCCTCTGGGGGGATCTTGGGGGCTGGGGGGCTCGAAATGTCAATTCGTGTCCCCCCTCTTGAGGCCGTCTTGGTGGGCTCACGGGCTCGTCTTGGGGGCCTCCTGGGCCGCGTTGGGGCCCTCTTGGGCCGTCTTGGGGTCCTGTTGGGGGCCTCTTGGGCGGTTTTGGGGCTGTCTTTGAACCCCCTTGTGCCATCTTGGAGCGTCGGAAGCCAAAAACAACTGTCATGCCAAGTTTTTCCCCCAAACCATCCTGTGGTGTTGGGTCCTCGTTTTGAAGAGACGGTCCCCGCGTTCTCCTTCCTTCCTCCCCCCTCCTCCCTCCTCCTGTCACCCCCCTCATTTTGCACACCCCTCACACGTTCCGTGGCCCCATAGGGAGCTCCACCGAAGGCCCCAGTGCCACCGCCCGCATGCGTCACGCACACCCATTTCGGCACACCCCTCTCACGTCTCGTGGCCCCACAGGGACCCGTTTCAGCACACGCCTCACACGTTTCGTGGCCCCTGTAGGGAGCTCCACCTAAGGCCCCAGTGCCACCGCCCGCATGCATCACCCACAGATTTCGGCACACTTCTCACACGTGTCGTGGTTCCACAGGGAGCTTCACCGAAGGCCCCATTGCCACCGCCCGCATGCGTCTCGCACACAGATTTCGGCACAACCCTCACACGTTTCGTGGCTGCATAGGAAGCTCCACCGAAGGCCCCAATGCCACCGCCCGCATGCGTCACGCCCACCCCTTTCGGCACACCCCTCACACGTTTCGTGGCCCCATAGGGAACTCCACCGAAGGCCCCAGTGGCCCGCATGCGTCACGCACACCCAGGTCGGCACACCCCTCACACGTTCCGTGGCCTCATAGGGCGCTCCACCGAAGGCCCCAGGGGCACCGCCCGCATGCTTCACGCACACCCATTTCGGCACACCCCTCACACGTTTCGTGGCCCCATAGGGAGCTCCACCGAAGGCCCCGGTGCCACCGCCCGCATGCGTCACCCACACAAATTTTGGCACAACCCTCACACGTTTCGTGGCTGCATAGGAAGCTCCACCGAAGGCCCCAATGCCACCGCCCGCATGCGTCACGCATACCCATTTCGGCACACTTCTCACACGTGTCGTGGTTCCACAGGGAGCTTCACCGAAGGCCCCAGTGCCACCGCCCGCATGCGCCACGCACTCCCATTTCGGCAAACCCGTCACACGTTTCGTGTCCTCATAGGGCGCTCCACCGAAGGCCCCAGTGCCACCTCCCGCATGCCCTCACGTTTCGTGGCCCCAAAGGGAGCTCCACCGAATGCCACAGTGCCACCGCCAGCATGCGTCACGCACGCCCATTTCGGCACACCCCTCATACGTTTCGCGGCCCCATAGGGAGCTCCACCGGAGGCAATAGTGCCGCCGCCCGCATGCGTCACGCACGCCCATTCCGGCACACCCCTCACACGTTTCGTGGCCCGATAGGGAGCTCCACCGAAGGCCCCAGTGCCACCGCCTGCATGCGTCACCCACACAAATTTCGGCACACCCCTCACACGCCTCGTGGCCCATAGGAAGCTCCACCGAAGGCCCCAGTGCCACCGCCCGCATGCGTCACCCACACCCATTTCGGCACACCCCTCACACGTTTCGTGGTCCTCATAGTGGGCTCCACCGAAATCGCCAGTGGCTGCGTTCGCTTGCGCCCACCGCGCCCATGTCGGCACACTCATCATACGTTTCGCTGCCCCATAGGGAGCCCCACCGAAAACCACAATGGCTGCGTCCGCATGCGCCACACCTCTCGCGCGCTTCGTGGCCTCACATGCATTCCAGCGACGGCCCCAGCGGCTGCTTTCGCATGCGCTCACCAGAGACATTTTGGCACGCACCTCAAACGTTTCGTGGCCTTATAGGGAGCTCATCCGAATATTGTGCAAACAACGACGGTGCTCACAACTGTATATGTTTGGGTCCTTCGCCGTGCTTTTCCCCAACCATCCTGTGATGTTTGGTCCTCGTTTCGAAGAGACAGCGCCGCGCGTCTCCTCCTCCTCCTTCCTCCACCTCCTCCTCCCACTCTTCACGCGCTTCGTGGCCCCATAAGGAGATTTACCGAAGGCGGTACTAACAACGAGTGTATCCACAACTGCATATGGTTGGGTCCTTCGCCAGGCACATTTTTCCCAAACATACTGTGGTGCTGGGCCTTCGTTTTGAAGAGACAGTGCCCCGCGTCGCCTCTCCCGCTGTCCCCTCCTCTCCTCCACCTCCTCCTATCGTCGCCCCCTCACTTTGGCACGCCCCTCACACGTTCTGTGGCCCCATAGGTAGCTCAACCTAAGGTCCCAGTGGCGCAGTCCGCATGGCGGCGCCGCCCCACTTTGGCACACCCCTGACACGCTTCGTGGCCCCATAGGGAGCTCCACGTGACGTCCCAGTGGCGCAGTCCGCATGGCGTCGCCGCCCCATTTTAGCACACCCATCGCACGTTTCGTGGCTCCATAGGGAGCTCCACCTAAGGTCCCAGTGGCGCAGTCCGCATGGCGCCGCCGCCCCATTTTGACACACCCTTCACACGTTTCGTGGCCCCATAGGGAGTTCAACCCCACGTTCCAGTTGCGTAGTCAGCATGGCGGCGCAGCCCCATTTTGGCACGCCCCTCGCACGTTTCGTGGCCCCGTACGGAGCTCCACCTAAGGTCCCAGTGGCGCAGTCCGCACGACGGCGCCGCACCATTTTGGCACACCCCACACGTTTCGTGGTCCATAGGTAGCTCCACCTAAGGTCCCAGTGGCGCAGTCCGCATGGCGGCGCCGCCCCATTTTGGCACACCCTTCATACGTTTCGTGGCCCCGTCGGGAGCTCCACCTAAGGTCCCAGTGGCGCAGTCCGGATGGCGGCGCCGCACCATTTTGGCACACCTTTCACATGTTTCGTGGCCACATAGGGAGCCAAATCTAAGGTCACAGTGGCACAGCCCGCATGGCGCCGCCGCCCCAGTATGGCACACCCACCACGCGTTTCGTGGCACCGTCGGGGGCCCCACCTGAGGTCCCAGTGGCGCAGTCCACACGGCGGCGCCGCTCCATTTTGGCACACCCTCAAACGTTTCGTGGCCCCATAGGGAGCTCCACGTGACGTCCCAGTGGCGCAGCCAGCATGGCGCAGCCGCCCCATTTTAGCACACCCATCGCACGTTTCGTGGCTCCATAGGGAGCTCCACCTAAGGTCCCAGTGGCGCAGTCCGCATGGCGCCGCCGCCCCCTTTTGACACACCCTTCACACGTCGTGGCCCCATAGGGAGTTCAACCCCACGTTCCAGTTGCGCAGTCAGCATGGCGGCGCCGCCGCATTTTGGCACGCCCCTCACACGTTTCGTGGCCCCGTACGGTGCTCCACCTAAGGTCCCAGTGGCGCAGTCCGCATGGCGGCGCCGCACCATTTTGGCACACCCTTCACACGTTTCGTGGCCACATATGGAGCCCAATCTAAGGTCACAGTGGCACAGTCCGCATGGCGGCGCCGCCCCAGTTTGGCACACCCACCACGCGTTTCGTGGCACCATCGGGGGCCCCACCTAAGGTCCCAGTGGCGCAGTCCACACGGCGGCGCCGCTCCATTTTGACACACCCTCAAACGTTTCGTGGCCCCACAGGGAGCTCCACCTAAGGTCACAGTGACGCAGTCCGCATGGCGGCGCCGCCCCATTTTGACACACCCTTCACACGTTTCGTGGCCCCATATGGAGCCCCACCTAAGGCCCCAGTGGCGTCCGCATGGCGCAGCCGCCCCATTTTAGCACCACACGTTTCGTGGCCCTATATGGGGCTCCACCTAAGGTCCCAGTGGCGCAGTCCGCATGGTTGCGCAGCCCCATTTTGACACATCCCTCACACGTTTCGTGGCCCCATAGGGAGCTTCACCTACCGTCCCAGTGGCGCAGTCCGCATGGCGGCGCCGCTCCAGTTTGGCACGCCCTTCACGCGTTTCGCGGCCACATCGGGAGCTCCACCTAAGGTCCCAGAGGCGCAGTCCGCATGGCGGCGCCGCCCTATTTCTGGCACATCCCTCGAACGTTGCGTGGCAATATAGGGATCTCCCCCGAAGGTCACAGTGGCGCAGTCCGCATGGCGGAGCTGCCCCGTTTTTGCACATCACCCTCATGTTTCGTGGCCCCATAGGGAGCCCCATCTAAGGCCCCAGTGGCGCAGTCCGCATGGGGCGCAGCCCCATTTTGGCACGCCCCTCGCACGTTTCGTGGCCACATAGGGAGCTCCACCTAAGGTCCCAGTGGCGCAGTCCGCACGACGGCGCCGCCCCATTTTGGCACACCCCTCACACGTTTCGTGGTCCATAGGTAGCTCCACCTAAGGTCCCAGTGGCGCAGTCCGCATGGCGGCGCCGCCCC